AACCGCGGCGCGTAGCGCCGCGAAATTTGGTATGACTATTCCCTCATCAATTTTACATATGGTGTGCAAGTTTGAACCTCCTACCTTTCAAGGTCAGGTCACCAGGTCACTTTGAATGACCCAACCTCAAGTCACTTTTTTGCAACTTTGTCACCGTGCCAGAGCTACAGTAGATGTCGGAGGCCTTTGAAAGTCGCAGGATGTTATTAGATCATTAGTAGCTACAATTTGTATATCTCGGAATTTTGATATCGGTGAACTAAGGTCAGGTCAATTTCGCGACCTCCCCATTATAAGTCAATGGGGGAAAAATCAACTCCCTGTTTTTACCACTAAAACGGGTCGGAATGGCCCCATATACCATACATGACTTCATATAGGTACGATCAACCTTCACTACCTTGAGGTCTGTTTTGCTGTTGGGGAGCTCTGAGGTCATGTGACGTCATCAAAGGTCACCAAAGGTTTTTGGCCAATAACTCCGTACAGGAACAAGATACAGACGCGTGGATGGTCTCATTGTGTTCAGCTCGTCAAGACGCATCGAATGATGTACAGCCCTCTGCAGACTGCGTGGTAGGTATTCTTTTTTCGACAAAACCGATAATAACTCAAAGGTTATGTTATCAGTCGGTCGGAACTCACTGCAAATAGATGCGCCATGCTCCACTCCTTCGATTAGGTTTATCAATAAACAAAGTTTACGCCTTGTGTGGCGACAAAATGCAAAAGTTTGTTTTGGGGGCAAATATAAACTTTTGGGTTTAATTGCCTAACTAGATGAAAAATGGATACGGTGATGATGCCGATCTAAGGGGCGGGGTCTAGCGCGTCTTGCTGTTACGATTTCCGAATGACCGATAGCATAGTATTCCGCGTTATTCTCATTTTTGTCGAAAAAAGAATACCTACCACGCAGTTTGCAGAGGGCTGTACATGATGACCTCGAGGTCACATGACCTGAGGTCAACGTTTAACCTTGACCTTTCGAGGTCAACATATATATCATTCGATGCGGATTGACGAGAGGATTACGATGATGCCCTTAGTTTGTTCCTATCTTGACTAATTTGAAAGTTATTCGAGAAAACTCTCTCCATATCTAGCGCCGCCATTTTGACTTTTTCGACCCCTGTGACGTCATCTTTGACCTGACCTGAAAATGACCTTAGTAAAAATTGTAGATCTTGACCGTGCGTATCCGATGCCATTTACCGCTTGTCGCTATCTTGCTTCGTTCTCGAGATCTCAGGGGGGGCGGTCATCCGCCCCCCCCGTCGGTGCGAAGTTGGCGCAGACCCCCGTCGGTGCGCGGGTTATGATGTTGGACAAAAGATATAAATTTGCAGTTTGGTTCAGACTGGTGTGGCTGATGGTGCACAGCAGCTCTTTAAAAAGAACTTAATAAAAAAGAATTAGCGTTATGCTGCGATGAATGGGCAGCGATATGGAACATGTTCAACTTCAAGCACACACAACCTCTGGCATGAATGGATTAGGTGCCTAGAGCCTACATAAGGATTACGAGTACATCAGGGAAGCATTAGTCTGACAGGCGTAAGCTGTCACATACAGCTGCACACCTGTTAATGTGCCGCCCGCGCGTAATAGGCATGCTTGCGATGAAAGGGACGTCGGATTAAATTAGATGCCCGACTACCGTGTGTTACTTCTTGCTAGTAGGCAGTAGACAGTGACCTGTGCTGGACCTTTGTTGCTACACGGGCCGTTCCAGGCCGATCAGACATCCCGTCCCGCCCTAGGCACACTCTAATATATGACGGCCTTTAGCTGTGGTGGCAGAGTTTGCTGCCTATCGGAATGGGACTGAGGGGGAGGGGATCCGGGCAAACACAGGACTATCGCTCACTGTCCGCCGCCGTCACTAGTGACGTCAGCAGCAGGTGGGGAGTGACGTCATCACCCGCCCGTGAACGGCCACGAGCGCCGCGCAGAGGTGACGTCACTTCACATGTCCCGCTGACATATACTGCGGGCTGCGTCTCAACACTGATTGTGAGCGCTGAGCGCTGACAGGAGGTTATTTAACGGTCAGAGTTCGGTCCCTTTTTAGATTTAACTCGAAATAGCAAATTTTCAAGCTAGTTTACTGAGATACCTGTATGGGAACTGATGATAAGTAAAACTTGGACATTAAATGCAATTTTTATTACAGGCAATCATAGAACAAAACTCCAGCAGCCAAACGTTTCGACCCTGGATGCTGGGTATCCGTCAAATAAACGTCCGACCACCGCTGCAGTGTGGCCAATTACCAAACCAGCTGCAGGTGCCTGAATACCGCAGCCATCAGTCTGGCTGGAACCGGAACCAACTGAAATGAAACTGAAAACTAAGTAGATTAAACAACAATCAGATGAGTCGCGGAATGAGTACACCTGTCAAACCGAAGGCAGTGCGAGTGTAGCAAAGTCACAACTCGCAACTACATACGCTTCGACGTAATAGCGGCGCGGTCTCGACGCAATATGTGATTAATTTGTTGGCCTATATTGATTAATTAATTTGGCCTTTACCACACAATGAGAACGGTGAAGTCCGTAAAAGCGAGGCAGAAGTGCAGTGCAATTAAACCATGTTAATTAACCCTAGAACGCCTAGGGGGGGGGTTGTATCAACCCCCCCCTGAGGTTTTTTCGAAGTACACGCTAAACGGCTTGTCGTAGCGGGCTGAAATTTTCAATGCCCTCTGGGGCAACCTTTGCGCATCTTTTGCCGAAAAAAAAATTGATCGGGTCATGTCAGGTCACGGAGTTATGACGTCATAAGAGGTACAGCCTCCGGCCGGATTTTCACAAACTGAGTGCCAACGCCCGAGGTTTCCTGCCGGTGGTACGGACATCGGTTGATGGATCGTGATGAAACTTCCCATGCATGTTGGGGCAAGTATTGGCTATCATATCGTATAAGAAATTTGACCGGGTCAGGTCAGGTCACGGAGCTATGACGTCACAAGAGGAACAGCGTCCGGTACTATTTTTGAAAAGCGCCCGAACCACTATTTTGCTAATTCTTGTCACCTCAATGGGAATATGCAGCAATATTAGCTTCTATAGGGAGCAAATGGACCTCCCAAATCCAAAAATACAATCAGATTTCAAAAATTTAAATTTTGATTTTTCGAATTTCTGCCGCCGACTGTGACCTTGCCGACTTCCGGCGCTCCCAACGCGCCATTTTTAGAGCTAGGGAAACGAAATACATACCAAACGATAGAGAATTGATTAAGGAACACGATAGTGAAGGTTTCAAGTCGATATCTCCCACCGTTTTGCCGCAATCGCCGCCGAAAGTTGAAAAAAGTCTATTTTTCCGAAAATTTGACCTTTGACCGGTCAAAAGTAGGTCAAATGTTGACCTAGGACCAAAAAATATACCACCAATCGCGAGATCTCGTTGAGAGCAATCCGTTGGTTTTTTCCGCTAAGCTCTACGACCTTCCGTTTCGAAACGCCAGGGGGGGGTCGTAACAACCCCCCCCCTGGTCGTTCGTGTTATGAGAAATGGCCTGGTCGTGCGAGGGTTAACTGCACCATAGCCAACCTATTGCAAGCGCCGCAAGTGAAGAAGCATTGCTGCACACGTTCATCATTATTTCATGCTCAGTGGGCTGCTTTGTGCTTATATGTATACTTTATACTCAAAGCATTGAGCAAAACCCACAGAGCATGTGCTATGTTATCGCCGGCTGAGTCTGCGACTGTGGCAATCTGAGAGCATCAATCCAGCATGAGCTCTGGCTAATCCCGGCATCAATCCACGATCGATTTGACCCGGTGAGGGTTCGGTGGTTCTGCATGAACCCCGGCATCAATTCAGGATGAACCCTGAGTGATCCCGGCATCAGTCTGCCATCGATCCGGCTCACTCCGGGTCCAGCGGTTCCACTTGACATCTACTGTGACCTCACTGTCCGAGGAAGATCAGACACGTGCCATCTGTAGCTCACAAGGCTAATCCGGGCCTGTGGTGGCTCATGGCTATCGGATGTTAGGGATCGGTTGGACAGGGCGTCTTTGGTCCCAGCTCTGTGAGAGCTGTCTGAGGGGAATCTGTGGTCTGTGAACCGACTGCGAGTCAATGCCTGGAAGTGATTAAGCAGGGCTGCGAAGTCGGAGTCGGAGTCAGAGTCGGGGTCGATCGGAGTCGACAGTTGTGCCCGGAGTCGGGGTCGGAGTCGGAGTCGATTTTAGAAACCCGAGCCGGAGCCTGAGTCGGAGTCACCGAAAATCTGTCGACTCCGCAGCCCTACTAGGTCTGTGGAGTCGGAGTCGGGAGTTGGAGTCGGTCGGAGTCGACAATTCTGCCCGGAGTCGGAGTCGGGGTCGGAGCTGGTTTTTGAAAGCCGGAGTCGGAGTCGGAGTCGGAGTCGCCGAAAATCCATCGACTCCGCAGCCCTGGATTAAAGGCTGGCGGACTTCATCAGGACGTGCCATCTCCCGGAACAGCATAGGGTTTCGATAACTTGATTTGACTTCTGATGCAAATTGTTTTGCACATATGAGAGGCCAGTAGCCCAGTAGCATGACGTGATCACTTCATGTGCATACTTAGATGTGGCGAAATGGCTCATTTACATCCACGATGATCTGGATCTGATCATTGTCATAGGCTTTGAATATTGCGAAACGAGATCTAATGATCATGCGGAACGACAGCTGTGTATGTACCTTAATGTCTTTCCGAACCATTTTACCATGGCATCTGCAATGCCTTAAATCATTTCCGCAATCCACATGTCGCAAAGCCGCCCTGTATAACTATGTACCGCAATGCTGCTTCAAAGCCACTTTGTCTTTCGGCCTTCAGGCTTCAGCCTCGGCCCTGCCATTCACCTAAAATACATTTTGCTCTCATTTCGGTGCAGCTCTATGCATTGTAGAAACGTTTCCTGACCACTGAAAACTCTTTCAGGCTGCCACACCCCATTTGCAATGGTCACGAGTCTCCTACTTCTAACTCGGTCGTTTTTTCCTCAGTCGTTGACGCTGCGGCGGCGGTCACCGACGCCCCGGCGCCACTTGCCGTGACCTCTGGTGACCTTCCTGTGACCGCGCGGTATCGCGGTGACCCGGAGGAAGTCAGCCATGACCCGGCCCGTCACAAGCGTCCCTCGGATGACACGCAGGTGGTGCAGGTGCAGGCGGACGCCCTGCTGGCACCGGCACCCAGCCGCGACAATATGTCCGACATCTATTTCATCGGTGAGTTGAGCCTTGATTGGTTTGCGTAGATAATTGCTTTGCCCTTTGGTGAATGCTCTGTCCTTGGAATTTGTTTAAAATACGAAGCGAATGGGAACGAGTCTTTAGCCACGTAAAATTAGGAAAAATCCTAAAACTAAAGATGGGATTCACGGAAGCATAATGTGCGAAGGCTTAGGTATACAAAGAAGGTCTTCCTCATTCGACCTTATATTTAACCTTTTTTTACGTCATTTGCGCGTTACTTCGATCATACGTCACAGCTCACCTTTGACGTAGCAGTATTTGCGCTGTCAGACTCGTGAATTATGCTGGCCATTTCTCTTGATTCATTACGCATGAAACAAAATGCAGCATTCGTTATTCACATTTCATCTTCTGAGCATAACTTCTAATAAATTCAAATGAGTTTCATGACGTTTCGACAGGATGGTTGGATCGAATATTTCCAGTTATTTCTTCTTATGACAGGATGTCAGGATGACTGGATCGAACATTTCCAGTTATTTCTTCTTATGATGGAATGACCGACTCTTCGCATATGTTCCATTACGGGTCCATAAGTTTGGTGCATGACCCGACGTTTTCAGTTTTATACGTTGTTTGAGTTCATATAGGTAGTCCCACCGCTTGTAAGTATAGCTGTTTGAAACTGCAGACTCAACTATCACGTCTTAACTTCGTAATTTTGGGGGATAATAACCGTTTTGTAGGTACTCGTGGCTTCACAGTTCAGTTGGTATGTTGCTTGAATCTGTGGTTCTGATGCCTGCGTACTGTTTGAAACTGTAACCGAGCAGTGTTTGCCGTTTGGGCCGTGCTCTCGCAGCTCTCACGCTCCCTATTTACTCTGAAGGTTTGGTTTTATTTCAGTGACGGTGGCAGGGGTTTGCGCCATGGCAGTCGGTGTGACGGTGGCCGGAGGATTCTGCTACCACCGGTGAGGCCCGCACATAATTATTGGTAAACGCTCCGTCACAACAGCACACTCTCATAACTCTTAGGTGTGAACCGTGAATAAGTGTACATGGTCAAGCACAGATCGCATATCTTGCTGTTTCTCCGTCTGATACTTTATGTTGGCTGCATTTATTTCTAGATAACAGCAATGGCAAATGAACTGAGGTCGGTATAACTATACATAATCTGCACAGTGCACAGTTAACCCTCGCCCGCACATGGGGGGGGGGGTGGTTGCCACCCCCCCAGGCAGTCTTTCTGCTCTGCACTCAACATTTTTAGAGCTAGAAGGCTGATTTTTCGTATAGCTGCTCGTCTATCCTTTCTTGATGTCCACTGAAAATTTCAAGTTTCTGTGATTTTTGGTTTCGGAGATATGACCTTGTTTTTCAGGTCATGTCATGACCCAAATGGCCAATTCTCAACATCTTGCGTTTGCCATGGGCCTTGTGAGCTTTTGACACCCTGATTTCGGCCTTTTTTTGCCAGTCTTACCTCCCACCTATCATGGAACATGTTGTTCGACGATGTACAGGGGTCAAGGTCAGGGTCAAGGTCAACCTAGGTCATCTAAGATAATTGCGTTTTAGGCAAGCTGAATTTACTTTTTGTGAAGTTTTTTGACTGCATTTTTGGTAAAAGCTTCTCAGATCATGATTTCATGTGATATGGACCCAAAAACAATCGGTGCACACATCAGTATACACACAGACACAGACAGACATACAAACACATATAATTGACCTTGACCTAACTTGACCTGAAATGACCTCAGCAGCAAAATTCTGGTCGGATAGTGTGACAAAGAGGTTCTAGCTGGCTTGGCACCAGAAAACAGCATCGTCATCGGTATTTGATAAGCAGCGCACTTGATATCCAACGGTGACCCAAAACAGCAACATTTTTTAGTTTGACCTGACCTGGAAGGTCAATGACTGACCTGAGAAGGTAAAACTGGGTATCGTTGGATTCGTCTCTTCCCAAAGAATCTTTTTGGTCTTTACCGCTAAGCTCTATCTCCAACAGGAACGAAATGGCGCGGGGGGGGGTGGCAACCACCCCCCCCCCATGTGCGTTCTAGGATGGAAAAATGGCATGTGCGGGCGAGGGTTAAATCTAGCGGTCTTGCGCGCCTGCCTGTTGTGCCCCGTGCCGCGCACCAAGGTACTGCTCAGCAAATTTAGTCAACTCCGGGCCTCACCTTCCCTCCCAGGCAAAACTCCAAGTTCCTTCAACGTCGTAGCCACTTGCGACTACGGCGCAGATCCGGAGGGCTTTGTTTGCTCTGAGTTCTGCGAAGAGCCCCAGCTGCCAGCAGTACAGTAACTTTGCTCATTAACCACTCACACGATGCCCAAGAGCATCGATCGGCGTTTCTAGGATACCTGACCGGAAGCGTCTTTACGTCCGTAATTGAGTTGATAGTACAGCCGGGCTGCCCTCAATGCCGGGCCGAGTGTCTGCCCTCAATGTTTCTAATGCAGCCAGATGCGCTCCTGCCTTTTTTGCTGTTGGTTGACTTCGACCGCCGTGTGTTACAGGATGCAGAAGCGCTCGAAGGCCGCCAGTGACGCCGAGTATCCTGCTTATGGGGTCACGGGTCCCAGCCGCGACCTCAGTCCGTCTGGGGATCGCAAACTGGCCCAGTCGGCCCAGATGTACCACTACCAGCACCAGAAACAGCAGATGATGGCCATGGAAAAGTGAGTACTTCGTTGATTGTCATATAGGTACTCGGTAACTCAACTCCCCTCTTCATCCGAAGCGACGTTCTGTCTCTGTTTCCACTCGCCCTTGTCTTTGCACCCGTCTCTGTATCGATATCTGTGCCTCAGGTGTCTATGTCTGTGTTGATCTCTTTCCGTCTCCGTCACTCTCCCCTTCCTTCCTATCTCTCTCCGGACACTGACCCTAGCCGTGGGCGGTCTTGTCCCGCAAGGGCTTCTCCTCCCAGGCTGTTTCCAATTACCAGGACGTGGGCGGGACGGGGCAATTGCCGGTCAACAGGGATCGCCAACGGCCGTAATGGAGCACGGGCACACCACCAGGGATGGAACGAATCACAGGGGACGGAGACATCACAGGAAGCGGATAACATCACAGGCGTAGACAGTATCTGGTGATGCGCAGGATGTAAAAAGATCAGAAGGCAGTGACCGTCACTGGAAGACGCTTCTATTAGACAGACATATCTGAAGAATCACGAAGTAGAGATTTGACGGGAATACTCCGTTTCATTTATTTAATATATCGTTTTCTTTGGATAAAAACGGGCCGCCAGCCTTGGTTATATCCGTCTATCTCCCGTGCGCACTGATCTGTGACCTTTGGTGGCCTCCAGTGACCTCTGCTGACCTCTGCTGACCTCTGCAGGACCCATAACGGCCGCCACGGCTCTGCTTCTGACGTGGACTCGGAGGAGGAGAACGAGGAGGGCGACTACACCGTGTACGAGTGCCCTGGACTCGCCCCGGTGAGTATTTATAACACTACACTGTATACGAGTGTCCCGGACTCGTTCAGGTCCATATACCTAAAGAGCTCAGGCCCCGGTGAGTATACATAACACTACACTACACCTCAAGTATAACACTCAAGAGCTCAGGGCCCCTTAAGTAGGTATAACACTACACCGTGTTCGAACGGCGAGTGTTCCGGGCTCGCCCCGGTGAGTATAACACCGTGTATTAGTGTCTTGGACTCACCAAGGCTATAGAGGTGAACTAACACTACACTGTGTGAGTGTCCTGGCCTCGCTCCGGTCAGTCTATCAAGCACTACACCGTGTACGAGTGTTTCGGACTCGCCGCGGTCAGTATAAGCATACACTGTGCGAGTGTTCCGGACTTTCCCGCAGTCAGTACACCAATAATTACGCTGTTTACGAGTGTCCATAGCCCACCTTGGCTAGTACGCATACGGGTCAGTTTTCACTCAGAAGCATGCTTATCGCTTATCATTTCGCGCATGGAGACCCCAAATACAGTACACACTACACATTACACGATCAGTCGACAGTCGTTTCAGTCGGTGGCCGGGTGGCGCACCGTCTGTTTGGCTCTGTCTCCGATACCACAGCTCGTCCAATCGGCGCTGTATTGGCCGCCGGGCTCGATCGATCCGTATATCGGCCGTGATTGGCTATAAAACTGCGACCGGTCACCAGCGGTGTTGTGTACTCACGATAACATTGCGATGGGATCGTGCACGCTGTCCGTTGTTAGTGTCCGATATCTGCTCTCTGCGATCCGTTGTCCGTTGTCTGTTGTCTGGTGTCTGATGTCCTTATTTTTCCTGTTTGTGTCTGATGTCCGCTGTCTGAAATCTGGTGACGACCTTTTGTGATCAGTATTTGACGACAGTATCCAGTATGCGATATCTGGCCGAGTTTGTATCTCACTGCCTGCTGTCCTGAGCATGAAGTGTGAATTTACCTAGCTCCACCGGGAAGTGCTCTCAGCATACATCCCACTGAACTGTTGCCTGATCTCTGTAAGCAGCCTGGTCTAACCGACCCGGCCGAGCCCCGCTCAAAGAACTCGCCACTGGAGCAGAGATTACCGGTGGCACCAGCCACTAGCTCGGCTGAGTTCTTGGTAACCCGGGGCAACGGTGCTCTACGCTCCCAGCTCCCGGAAGATCAGCTCAAGGGACCACCAGTCGGGAGCTATTTATGTCCCACCGAGTCGGAACTTCGTTGAGAAAATCGTCAACGTTTTATTTGTGACAATCTTTGGCTGAAGTAAAGGGCAAGACAGCTTAGAAGTTTGGTGACCTTTGAGTAGATCTTATCTCTACCTAATATAAGCACGAACATGCTGGGCATGGAAGAGCATTGTAATCCATCAGGCCCGTAAATAAAAAACTACCAAAATACATATTATGTGATGTGATGATATGGTATATGTGATGCCGCTAAAGCCAGTTAGGCATTGCACCTAGAACTAAAAGAGTTCATTCTCTTTCTGGCACATTTAAATTTTAATAAGTGGTATGATTGATTACAAAAAACTCCCTAGCAGTTCTAGGAAAATGTGTTCGACGGTCGAATCCCATGAGAATAAAATCCAACATGCAGTCGCGCTCGCGCTCGCATCACATCACGTCAGTGCCTGCCTTTTGAATTCCGACAGCTTTATGATTTGATCGCGTATAATTCACAAGCTGGAAGAGGGTTCTTGACGTGCCTGGAATCCTTCAGTGTCTGTGCAGTGCGGTGCTGTTTTTTGGCTGCGTACTTATCCTCGACTCGAGTGCTTATAGGTACCTAATTCTAATTGATGTCAGCGTGCAGAACAACCTCGAGCCTGTGAGTGGTGTAATCCAATTAGCCAATTTAGACAGGTGGTTAATCTTCCATTAGAAAATAGTGTTTTGCCGAGTTACGTTGTCCCAGGTCTTTAACGACGGTGCAGTAGTTAATAGGAAACGATAATGATAAAAATCCTGAACTATTTTACCTTTCAAAATTTCAAGCGTATTTTACAAGGAGCTTTACATTATCGCAGTCACCATGCACCATGCACTAACCCATTGTTTGCATTTTTATTCAACAGACCGGGGAAATGGAGGTGAAGAACCCGCTGTTCCAGGACGACCAGACACCGGCGCCGCCCGCCGCTAGCGACAGCAAGTGAGCGGCCGGCGACGGTGGCGCCACCTGCGCCGACTGCGCCGGGATCGGTAGCGCCACCTGGAGCAGGGTTCGTCCCTGTCGGAGCAGTGGCCGGCCGGCCGGCGGGAATATTGAGTCCACAGCGAGAACGGGACGCGGCATACGATCACAGCCGGCGTCATCAGTCAGCCTCGCCACTATTATCCTGCTAAAATAAAGTTATTAGCCCATGACCGCGCACTGTGCGAGCATAGAGATAAAGCTATTTTCATATGACGTCATCGTAAATAGGCTTTAATCGTCAATAACCGGATGTATGTTATTATACTGGTAAAGTTGCGTATTCCATGAAATTTATTTTCGTATGAATTGTTCTCCACGGCAATGCTGCACAAGCCAGTGTTTTCCGGACACATTGAAAAACTCATATGGGCTAGCATGCACAAGAAGAAGCGAATTCCATTGTTCTCTATTAGGTACGCATAATGACATTCACAATCAATGTCCTTAAAAACATAGCTACATTTAGACAGCTTCTTCGAAGACATATGTAATATACACACCCAACAGCCAAACGACAGGTCCATCTTTCACGGAGTAGAACACCACACCTGGCTTTGTTTTGGCAAAGGCAAAAGCAAACAGATTTTCGGCGTGTTATTTATGAAAGGCTTAACGTGTTCCCGTTTATTTGGTTTTCAGGGAGAATTTCGATTCTCATTTCTGTCATAATTTACATATATATATCTGGCATCTCGTTAAGGCGAAACTACCTTTTCTTGATAAGCAAGGTCGGCGCCGGAGCGCTGTAATTGGATTTGCTATGCTTACCGCCCCTCGATATTATTACTAAAGTTTTATCGAAAAAGAATGAGTGGTATGTACTTGGTAGACGATAGTATACGCAAAGTTAGGCATTATTCTCAGCGCAGTCCTGCCCCTGAGTCAATCCAGTCCTGGGCGAGCACTGGCAGCAGTATGAATCCATTAGAAGCCATTGCATGGCTTTTTAGTAACAGTTCACATTAGTAAGATAGCAGTTAGGCACCGTATTTATGTTTTATGGCTTTGGTGGCACAAGCACAACGTTGATATAAAGAAGCTTCAAGAGATACCATGATTTCCGTCTTTTTAATGGACGACGCCATTAAATACGCCCCGGTTGTAGTTCCTACAGGGTGTTTCACAATAAACGTTACTTTTGATAAGCTTTTAAAATGACCTCAATTATTCGTATGCCCATAAATTCTATATTCATTTTGTTGCAAATTCTTTCGGGTTTTTTATCCTTACCAAACTATTACGAATCATCAACTGCATTCTTTATGTACGTGCAATGTCCACACCATCAAAACGGGTCAATTCGCTGTTAAGCTTCAGGGTCCTTCACAATGAATGTTGCTTTTTCAAACGACGATGTTTCAGTGACATGTATTACATATGGCTCATGAGTATTACCACATGAAACAGCAGAACAGCAGGACTGATGAACATATAACTTTCAGTTCAGCACCCTTCACGGGTTCTCCACTATGCCACCCTTCCGTCTGACTTTTTCAACCAGATTTTCTGGGATCGCCGTCCGGCCAGGAGGCGGGGCTGGTCTCTTGTTTCCGGTCTTCTGGAACCTTTCTACCACCCGTTTGAAAGACATTTTTGACGGAATATCCTTCCTCCTTTTAAAATGGCTACCGAAACTCCGTCGCACTGCGGTCAGACTTCGCAAAGCGCCGTAATGCATGACCACCCATACTGCCTCATCATTTGTACACGGCGAATTGACCCGTTTTGAAGGTGTTGGCATTGCACGTCCATACAGATGGAACCGTTGACGGTTTGAAAAAAAAAAGATATAAGGACTAAAAACCGTAACAAATTTGCAGCAAAATGCATATAAAATTTACGCGCTTACGAACAAGTAAGATCTTCATTTAAGCTATTCAAAAGTAACATTTATTGTGAAACACCCTGTAGAATAGTGCGATGATTGTCGAAAAAAATCCAGTCACTGAAGATCAGAAGCTCAGTTAGAGAAAGAATCTGAATCATGAAACTCAATAACGAAACGATTTAGTCTTTTTGGCCGAGACATAGCGCGTTTGAGCTTACAAGAATGATTTTAACGGGCTTACCAGTGCCAGTTGATTGTAAGGCATCAAATAGTAAATTGAGCTAAATGTGAATGTAATTACACAGTTCTTTAATGTTAACGGACATTCAAGCTCTACAATTTAACCTAAGAAGGCTCTTGGCTTACTTTACTTTATTTTCTTATCCAGAGAAAGGGCAGAACCATCATCTGCAACCGACGCAGCAAATGAAACTATTCCATTGACTGAAATTTTCCGAAGAAATACAAAAAAAAAAACTACAACTCATCCAAAGAGAAGCATCTGGATTGATACACTACATACTAAAAATATGTTATGCGTTGAAATAATTACAGCGTACCTATAGTCTTCTGTGTAGTGTCAAGTAACCAACCTCAAAGCGTAGATGCTAAAGCTGAAGCTTTACCGGGTCTGCATCTACCAAATAACAGAACCTATGTGTATTTATTTCGTGTGTCTGTGATGTCGTTACCAGATAACATGACGGGTGCCGAGCCAATATAACCTTGCATGGGCCGCTTTTGTCGTTAGGTATCGTGCATATCGGCCGGGGCGCCGTCGACCGTCTCGACTGGCGTGTGATGTGGATGTGCTATCCGTATTAGCTCGTAGGTTGGCCAGCAGCAGTGTTATGCCAGTAGTTACGTAGCTGTAGTCCTGTGTTATATGGCGGACGCACTTTCTGACGAATACGCTATTTTCTTGTAGTCTTCTGTCTTTTAGCGCTCGTTGAAATGTTAGCCGATGTAGCTATCGTTTCCTGAATCTCTATTCTTCTTGACGTTTTCGTGGTGAAAATCTATAAAACAGTAAGAGAAGTGGCTATTTTACTGTAGGAATTAGTTATAGCGTAGGTTGTTAGTTTGGCGCTCGCTGTGTCGTGCACCGTTCGGCGACGTAAGGTCCACGCTGCGCTCTCTCGTGTCTGTTGATGTACTGCAGCGATGGTGCAGAACAACTCGTGCTCTGTCTTTTCTATCGGTATCGGTGGGTGGCATTCCGTCTAAGTAAACTATCGGAATCGTGGGCGTTCTCGTTGCTCCGTCTATGGTGTTGGTATTGGTGACCGGTGTGGTCCCTGCTCCGTCTTTTCTATAGGTATCGGTGGCCAGCCCCTGTACCACCATTCTCAATGGGCTAGCCCCTTCCCTCGTGTGCGCCGAATCCGTATCGGTCGCGAGCTCTTGCTCCGTCTCTGTTCTGTGGGCGCTGGAACGCTGTATCGCTCTTTCTAAGCGTAAAGTCGCTATCGAGGTCCTGTTCTCTGTTCTGTGGGGACGTCAGAACGCTGAACCGCTCGTTCTGCCGCGCCGTGCCGGCGGTGTACCTGAATGTGCCACGTGTCTCTTCGGAACAGCGATGTGTGTTCTGTTCGTCTCCTGTGCAATAGTTAACTACTGTACGGTGAATTTCGGATTCTGTCACTCTTGCGCAAACATAATTGGCATTTGTTTATACAACGAACGGTGTTGTACTTTTCCCGGTAACAGCTATTCGGCTTTAGTTAGGTATAAGGTATGTGTCAATTTATCATCCGGCCTAACATCACCGAACTACTTCTAACTTTGCATGTTTTGTTGATAAGGCGTGCTTACAGCGCACCGTCTATTAAGTCGAATATTCGTCCGCGAGTGATAACCGAATAATGACATTCTATCCATCTATGACATGCAATCTATCCGCGATAGTCTATCTGCATCCATGACGTGTTACCCACCCATGACATTATATCCATCCCGATTGCGCGCAAACTGATCGATCCCATCTAAAGGTAACATTGTGCGAAAAAAAACATATGTTTAGGAAATGGCAGTGTAATTAATATCGGCGAAATAGCATTAGCCTATTTGACAGCAGATAAAGCGAAACACTTCTCTTTTTTCTATCACAATATCCAAAACGGTAATGGCTTTCGCTGGATCGTTGTGCTACGATTATAAGACCGGGTAAATATAAACGCCGTTTGTGTTATATAAGTAGATAATTGGAGCCCGGAATGATAGAGGAAATTGGAATCAGTCCTTTGTCATTTCACTAGACCGGAACTCAAGTTACCAGGTTTTGAATTTAAAACGGAGAAATTATTGCCAATATGTGATTTGCTCCATATGCAAAACATGTAAAACTTCCGGAGGATTAAACCTGAATTGAAAATGCTTTCAATTACGAGGAATAAACTTTTGAGTTGACGACCAATTTCACGCCTGTTTCGTGCAGTGAAGCAATTACGAGTATTTCTGTCCAATGGACATCTGAAGTGTATGGATGACAAACTTCGATCGAAAGATCGAACAGGTGTCAAAGACAAATTATATCAAACAATTATAATGTCGTCGTGGGACCGGGATTGTCCGTGCCATCTCAGTTCGCGCTCATTCACTCGTAACGAATAGATTTGGTGGATTGACAAAGCACCAATGACAGTATTTGCTCATCTTAACCCATTAGAGCCGAAAACTTTTTTTGTCGACTTTCACTGCGATTTTAACATATGTTTGTCAGGCACCCTTTAGGAGAATACATGTGCATTTTTAGCCAGATCACGAAACCGGAAGTGTACGTTTCCGGTCTGGCAGCTTTTGCTGCCAAGCGTATCTTACATAGTCAAAAATGGAGTGGTTTGTCACATTTCAAAGCACAAACATATCAAAACCGCGAGGAAATGATCTTTCGATACCAACAACCTTTGCCACAGAGTGTCTCCTGTTGATGCATGTACAGTTTTCACGAACTATTTTATTTACGTACCAGATATGATCTTGAATATGTGTAATTGTTCGGATTTCCATTCGACCGTAGCCTGCAAATAACGACCGTAGCCAATAATTCTCAAGAATAATGAACTCAAAATCCAGACCTCAGCTAACAGTTCAGCTCGTTCTGAGAGATCATGTTCTTTCTCTCATTATTTCAGCTCACACGCGCTTCCCCTCAGACCCCTCCCCACAAAATCTTATATAGGATGCGACGAAGGTTTTGATGACTTCCGTCGACCGTTTATTTAAAGCAACTTGGCGTGTTTACAATGTGCTCCTAAATATCGCGTTCCTTTCAACGAATTGTGTCCCTGAGTCTTTCTCTGAAGCGGAGATTATCTGAAAAGCTGACCTTTACCAATGGGGGTCACTGGCATGGGTAATTGTTTAACCATTGAACGGCGCATTTACTGAACGTCTAAGCATGAAGGCTTAGCTTTACAGTTGAGAGGTTCGTAGTTGCGCTGTTGGCATGCTCTAAGCTGGCAGGTGGCAACACATGGAAGGACGCTGCCTCACACTTCTAAGCCGCCGTTTTCACCAACAAGCGCTGGTGGAAGAAGTTTAGGGACAAGTAGCGTCACGCATAGCCCCAATCAGCATGGTCCTCCTGCGTCTCAACCGTCGCCAAGATCGTCATGAAGAAAGCACCTGGGAAGTCTGACCGTTCTGCGGAGAATCTGAAGTCTTATTCATAATGATCACTCGGATAATGTTGTCCATTGATAAGGGAGGTATGCCCTTGGACTGAAGGCGCTTGACTATTGGTGCGGCCAAAATAACGAAAATCAGCAAGCCCAGAGCCCTCAGATTTGCACGAAACGGAGAATCTGGCCGGTAGAAGAGTGGAAACGGAGTAGGTATGTAGAAGCGGGTCTAGTTCGGCGACGAGTCTCCGTTTCAATGGATTCACCACACAGACCCCCAAAACGAGCATGGGCTGAAAACGCGGCCCAAGTTACGACAGACTTCTGCGAAAAATTCTCGCCGCAATGGTATGTCGAACGATCACGATGTCCTAGCAGGGCCTGAGCTGAACCAGCTGGACGTGATCTAGCAAAAGACGGAGTCGATCCCGACTACTACCTAGAAAACATACTGAAAAGCGTGCATTTGGCATTATAAAGTCCACTACCCCGTGCTCCAACGGCGCATGGTGTCCCGCAGGTCGGACAGCATTTTCATGCTGGACGGTACCCCATCTCATCGATCTTCCGGAACTAGGCGGTGCCAGGACCGGCTGTCCGATATCTGGGGGAAGGACACTTGGCTAGGGAACAGTCCTGGCCTAAATCCAATCGAATTATTTCGGAGGATAGTGCAGCAGGAGCTGGATATATACAAACTTTCCGGCGACCACGGACAGCTCGGAAGGGCGCTCAAGTCCCAGGCGCCCCTTTTTCACATGGAGGACGTCCCTTTAAGCTTAATAGGCACCCCTCTTTCCCATGTAAGCGCCCATTTGGTCATCAAAGGCGCCCCTATATGTCTCAGAGGCGCCCCTCTTTTTTGTGCAATGCGCCTCTTTTTCATATGCAATGCGCCCCTCTTTCGCATAAAGGTGCCCTATGGACATTAAATGCACCCCTATGACCTTACAGGTGTCCCTCTTTCTCGTAGAGGCGCCCCATTGGGCTTCATAGGCGCCCCTCTTCGGCATGCAGGCGCCCCTCTTTCGTGCAGATGCGCCATTATGGCCATGACCTTCGTAGGCGCCCCTCTTTTGCATGGGGGCGGGAGCGGGGCGGGGGGCGGGGGCGACCCCATAGTTAGGCCTCAAAGGCGCCCCAACAGGCCTAGCAGGCGCCCCTCTTCCCGTTCATCTATAGAGCCACGGCACCACCTTCCCTTAGGCGACGGCGCGCCCCTTGAGGGATGGCGCCTCTGATGACAGTTTGTCCGCACCACTCCGTTCAACGTCCCTGCTTCAGCAATGCCGGAATAAATTACACGCCTGGTAGTGTGTTGGTATGCAATGCTCTGCAGACAAGAATAAATAGCAGAAACCCCGGTAATGACCATTTTTGGAAAGGCAAAGAAATGGGGCATTACACTATGAGCCAGAAAGCCAGACATTGTTGCTCACTCACGAATGGCATAGCAAAAAGGACGTAACTGCTCCATTTTTGACTACGTAAGATACGGTTGGCAGCTTTTGCTGCCACTTAAATATAACGCACGATTGGTGATGCTTAGAGAAATTGATGTCGCACCTAAGCTCTTCCCATTGATAATCACACATTTCTTTACAATAATCAAGAATAAAAAGGTAACATTTATTCACACCACCTTCGCAACTGACTTCTTTGGTGTCCGCCGCACGGCCGCAATCGCGCGCCCCTTGCACCCCCGCGATAAATTGTTTATTTCTCAGCACGTTCGCTTTCTCGATCAATAATTCGGAGCGCACATGACGTGCATTGTTTTGGTCTTCCATTCGGGTGAGAAGTTTGAAAGTTCACCGCAACGTTTAGGAATGCGGCGCTATTTTGTCCTGTGGCAGCAAAAGCTGCCAAGCGTATCTAATGGGTTAATGACCATATTTGCTTAAATAATCTTCTTATTATCTGAGCTATAAAAAAGTATAATTGTCGCCATTTCATTTCAGTCTGTAAATGCAGACGGTAAATTCGGTTTATTGCCGACACATCATCTCACTGTCAATCTGGTATCATACAAACTGTGACTCGCGGTTACATCAGTCAGGGCGCACGTTCGCTTAGACCAGGCTTGGCCTCAGAGGGCCAATTACCGACCAGAGGTTGAGGCATACACACCGGTCGTCGGACGTTAACAGCACAGGTAGAGCCAATACGTTCTCTGAAACGTATTGGCTCTCTGATTCTCGATATCAATCATCATCGGTTACATTGCACACTCCACACATTCTCTGGACCGTCCACGTTATCCCGTGGACAGTGGACACAACGGGCACACTGGTACGCTCGGTTCAGTCACTCAGTCATGTTGTGGGGGCCGAGGTTCTGGACTGTCACCCCAGCCGACCACCCAGTCTAACAGCATTGCATACACACGGTCGACTTGTCGCACAACCTTGCAATAATCGTCGGTACACTATACAGACATGCACCTGATGAAAAATATCAGAACAGGAGAAGGAGTACTGATGTCAATTGGGAGCTGTTTGTTCGTTTCGCAGTTTTATCTGCCTAATTTTGATATAAGACTAATAAGTAATATCCCTCTAACCTCTAGAGAGTAGACGGTAGACATTTTTAATTCGGCCGACATTCATTCTAGACATATGACAGCAGTTTATTGCGCATTTAATATAAATGGCAAAAAACTCCAGCGTATACTTTGCTGAACGAGCTGCTGGGAAGAGCAGCATCGCCATCATTAGCACCTGCTAGTTAGTAGCCGCATCCGGCATCATACACCTGACTTGCTTGGAGTGGGATGAAACATAGCTCGAGCACTGCTTGACCTTCATCACACAAACGAGACCTCGCAGCTGGAAGATCACTAATCCAGAAACGGAGCCAGGTAGAGCGATATCTGAGCACATTTCGGCCTCGAACACTGGGGCCGAACAGGGAGTCTTTGATCTCAGTTCATGCCGCCATTCATCGTTACACAGTAGGTACACTGTCCTTGAGCAGATGTCACCGCACATGTATTTTGCACATCACCGAATGCGTGCTGCTGTCAGTCTATCACGCTGGCCATTCCCATTGTAAACCTCACTGCAGTCCACTGCCCTGGGCGGATGTAGACGAGGTCTTGCCAGGTCTGAAAGAGTCCTAGAGCACATGGATCACCTTGTCTGATCCACATGCTAGTCCAAATCGAAGTTCGAAGGGTCATCACTTCTCCTGCGCCACACTCCGTCTGCTGCGGCGGCCCCTGCTCAGCAGACCGGCCTCGAAGCGTTCACGCATCTCCTCCACCCTATGTTCGGCACCCGTGGGACTGACAGGCTCCCGGCCGCCGGCGACGTACGCGCCCTCTACATCAGCCGCCGCCGACCGGCGCGACACCTCGCGGCTAGGCGAGTAAGCTGAGCCGCGAGGTCCGAGCGGGCTGTGTGGTCGCTCTCTGCCGACGCGAATCGCTCTGCGTCGGGCAGGACTAGCCTCTCGCTCCGGCGGCAGCTGGGAGACGCTCATACTGAGCGAGTACACCTCCGCCGGACTCATCTGGCGGCGGCGTGCCGGACTCACAGAGTCCGAGTCAGGCGGACTCGGCTCGCGAGCCACCGGGAACACCATGGGGAACCCGGAGTGTTCACGGGAGTGGGAGCGGCGCCGCGAACGATGTCGGCCGTGGCGGCTCGTCGGCGGACGGTTGGCGGTGTAGAGAGCCGCGGCCTGTTCGGTAGCCGTTTCCCTGCAGCGAGAGGAGGAGCGGCGCCGGTGGCGTCCACGCGGCTCCGGTCCGAGAGAGTAGGTAGAGTCCGTTTCTGAGGAGAG